TAACATAACATGTTGTAACGCAATACATACTACGATTTTATGAAACAGAATTTGCTGCAGTTTTGACAATAGTCATTTTTTAACAAAAAATCATTTCCCCGTATATGTATCTACCTATCTACTTAACTACCCGGGTTTTATAAGTTAGATCGGGCGTGGACAAACCGTGTTATTCGTAAAGGTTGCATGAACGATCCATCTAGGATCGTTTCACATTGACTGGCACAAATAATTCCCTGCTGCATATGCTGCGCAACCCGCTGTATGATAAAGGCTGTGCACAATTCCCTCTACACACCACCGCCATGCACCATCAGGATCCAGTGCTACACACACAGCAGCTACGCCTATACGCTATGAATCGTGTACTGGTGAGAAATACTCATTTTTGCGGAAATAGCCGAACGGTAGTAGGGCGCAACTTCGGGATCGCCCGGGTCCATAATACACATGTGTACACACTCATTGTGAACCCTAACCCTAACCCTAACCCTAACCCTAATCTAACCCTAACCCTAACCCTAAACAGAAAAAAATAAAAAAAATAAAAAATAAAAAGTAAACAGATGGGATTCGAACCAACATAACCAAATACCCTGGTATGTAAAATGAGTATTTCTCCCTGGCAGTGCAATAATCATACGCTATAAGCTGCTCACCAATTTACCCAATACACGATTGGCATTACTGGCGACTGAAGATGCAAGAGTTCAATGTAGAACTTAAAAAGTCAGTAAGGGTTCTGCTGTTAATGTCTGTATTACTATATATACGCTGTACATTTCGCGGTGGTTTAATTTTCGCAAATTTCGCGAACGCGTCCCCGACTGCGAAAATAACAACACGCGAACAATTCATAATACCGAATAATACCGAATATTTCATAATTCACCGACTGTGAAATTAACCACTCGCAAAATTGTCCATCAAGTCTGAATTCGCGAAAATATCTGTACGCGAAAAATATGGCGTATACTGTTACAGTATACTACCTCAGCTAGTGTACCAGCTCCCCCCCTCCAGCACCCCTCTCTCTCTCTCTCTCTCTCTCTCTCTCTCCTCTCCCTTCTCTCTTCCTGTCCTCCTCTCTCACGCACCATTTTGCTCTTCCTCTCTCATGCCTCTTCTCCCTCTCTCTCTCTCTTCCTGCCTGTCTCCCCCCTTTTACCTCTCTCACGCTCTGTCCCCCTATTTCTCTTGGTGGCCCTATCTACCTTCCTCTTCCTCTGCTACTCCTCTTCTCCTCCTTCTCTTCGCCCCCTCCCACTCTCCCCTCTCTTTGTTTATCTCACCTCTCTCGATTCCTCACCAATATCACCAATATTATATCTTACTCTACCTATATAGGGGTCACTGAAAGAAAATCCCCAAAACAACCATTGCTAGAACACTGTCCTATAGCAATATAATCATATATGTGGAAGAACAGATATATATGAATATAATGCAGAAAATATGTGAATATATAAGGAAAACGAGTGTCCTCTCTAGACAGGTGTCCCTTGTAGACAGGTGACCTTTCTAGACATGTGTGCCTTCCAGACAGGTGTCCCTTGAAGACAGGTGTCCCTTCTAGACAGGTGACCCTTGTAGACACGTGCCCCTTGTAGACAGGTGTCTCTTCTAGACAGGTGTCTCTTGTAGACAGGTATCCGTTCTAGACAGGTATCTCTTCTAGACAGGTGTCCCTTGAAGATAGGTGTCCCTTCTAGACAGATGACTCATCTAGACAGGTGTCCGTTCTAGACAGGTGTCTCTTCTGTAGAGGTACGGACACACGCTTGTACACGCTGACCTTCCTTCCTCTCTCTCTGCAGCTGTCCGGCGGAGGAGACCTCACCGGCATTATCAGCAGTCTCATCAAGGGAGGAACGAAGCTGCTGCCGAAGAGGTATGGGCGGCCCGGCATCCCGCGCGGCGAGAAGGGAAGCCATTCCAAACCCATCCCCGTCTCTACGCTGGGAGGAACGTCCGAGACACGCGGAACAAAGTCCTACGAGGTGAGGGGCAGACAGACAGAGAGAGGGAGAGAGAGAGAGAGAGAGAGAGAGAGAGAGAGAGGTCTATCTCTATCTCTCTCTCCTCTCTCCTCTCTCTCTCTCTCTCTCTCTCTTCTCTCTCTCTCTCGCGCCTCTCTCTCTCTCTCTCTCTCTCTCTCTCTCGCTCTCTCTCTCTCTCTCTCTCTCCTCTTCTCCCTTTCGCATATCTCTCTCTCTCTCGATCTCTCTCTCTTCTCTCTCTCTGATTCTCTCTGTCTGTCTCTCTCTCTCTCTCTCTCTCTCTCTCTCTCTCTCTTCTCTCGCTCTCGCTCTCTCTTCTCTCTCGTTTCTCTCGTTCCTCTCTCGTTCTCACTGTCTTCTCTCTCGCTACTCTGTCGTTCTACTCTCTCCCTCCACTCCCTCTCTCTCTCTCTCTCTCTGTCTTCGTCTCTCTCCTCTCTTCTCCCTTCCCTCCCTCTCTCTCCATCTCTCTCTCCTCTCTCTCTCTCCGGCCCTGTCTCTGTCTCTCTCCCCCCCTCTCCTTCCTCTCTCTCTCCTCTCTCTCTCTTTCTGTGTGTTGTGCGACGCACGTGTGTGTCCGGCATGGTGTGTCCTGTGAGCACTGTGTGCGTCAATGTGAGCACGTGTGTTCGCGTGAGTTGCTGGTCATAGTGACTGTGCTCTCGTGCTTGTCGTGCTGATCGCCCGTCCGCGCGCGTTGTGTTCTTGTCGTCTGCCCCTCTCTCTCTCTGTGTCCATTCTCCTCTCCTCATCTCTCTCTCTCTCTCTCTATCATCTCTCTCCTCTCTCTCTCTCTCTCTCTCTCTCTCTCTCTCTTCCTCTCTCCCTCTACTGTCTGTCTGTCGCCCCCGCTTCTACTCTCTCGCGCCTCCAGTCTCTCTCTCCTCGCTCTCCCCCACCCCCACACCGCCTCTCTCTCTCTCCTCTCCTCTCTGTCTCTCTTCCTTCTCTGTTCGGTTTCTGGTCCTGCGCCCCAGCTCTCGACTCTCTCTCCTCTCCCATCTCTCTCTCTCTCCCTCTCTCTCTCTCTCCCTCTCCTCTCTCCTCTCTCTCTCTCTCTCCCCTCCCCCCTTTCTCTCTCTCTCCTCTCTCTCTCTCTCTCTCTCTTCTCACTCTCGCTATTGTGTCTCCTCTCTCGTCCTCTCTCCCTCTCTTTGTCTCTCTGCCCTCTCAACTCTCTCTCTCTCTCTCTCCTCTTCTCTTCTTCGTCTCCCTCATCTCTCTCCTCCTCGCTCTCTCCTTCTCTCTCTCTCTCGTCGTCTCTCCCCTCTCTCTGTCTGTACTGCCCCCTCACATTCGTATGACTGCTTTCCAGCGGTCTCGCGACGTTCCTCCACTGCAGACGGGATGTTCTGGAATGCTTCCCTTTGGCGGCGCGATCCATGCCGCCCATACCCTTCCGCGCCACACTTCCCCCCCCCACCCCCTCCCCCCCCTTCCTCCCATTTTATGAGACGCTGATATGCCGTGTCTCCTCCGTCCGAAGCTGCAGAGAGAGAGAGAATAAAGTCAGCGCGTGTAACAGCGTGTTTCCGCTACATC